TTCATCAATCTTCAGGGGGTAGACTAATCTTCTTACAAACGCCAGTGCAAAGAGAGAAATTCAAATTCTGCTCTTTGCCAAGCAGACATCATTATTTTTGCATGAGTAAACCTCCTGCAGACAACATTACCAATAGTTTGGTACTTGGAATGCAAAGGTTATGCTGAGACTGGAAAATAAATGTGACAGTGAGATATCAAATACCCAGAATGATAGAGCCATCGTTAAATTTATGCAAACGCCTGATGAGAGAGCAATTAATGATAGAGGCTGAGTTTATCTGGTTTGAAAATGTCTCTATTACTCTATTAACGAGAGGCTAACAGGTCGGTCGGTATGAGGCTATTAATGTATGAGGCTATAAATGGCTATTTTATGGTTATGGGAGAATTGTTAGTCAAATATATATGGAACAATTTGCATAAATTTCCCATAATGCACTTGATAATTAGAACAAATTATCTAAATATTTTCAAAAATGGCTGAAATTTCTAAAAGAATTCTGACATATACAGACTCAAAACCTAACAAATTTATGAACTGGTTGAAGTATTACATGTTTCCATTTTGAAGACAGAAAGTGCCTGCATTTAAAAGTTCTGAAAGAATCTGAAAATCTTGGAGTTTGTAGCACTAGTATTCAATTAGATTTTTACAGGGAATGTCAAGGAAAACCAATGGAATTTGTAACATCAGTATTCAACTAAATTTTTACAGAAAATGTCATAGAAAACAATAGAATTTGTAGCATCAGTATTCAACTAAATTTTAACAAGGAATGACACGGAAAACCATGGAATTTGTAACACCAGTATTTAATTAGATTTTAACAGGGAATGTCACGGGAAAACAATGGAATTTGTAACATCAGTATTCAATTAGATCTTAACAGGGAATGTCACTTGGACAATGGAATTTGAAGAGCAAAGGTCAGATGGGATGTAAATGATCTGACACAAATATGAATTGTTTCAGTTAAAGTATATAAAAATATTGACATTGTATGCTGAGTGAGGAATGCAGTATGGTTTCAGATTACGACCACACATTATGAAAAAAACGATACTTATCTGGTTTAAATAATTATGTATTAATAATACAAATGGTATTAATAATTTCAAAGCAGAAAATTATATTTAAAATTAATTGTTCTGTTGAAAAGGAAAGGAAACGATTTTAATGATACATCAACAAATTGCGCAAATTATTTGAAATTTCATTATTTATTTCTATTCAGTGACTATGTGTGTAATAAAGTTTGAACTTTCTAAGTGAAAGAGCATTAATGCCAGTGGATTTTATTAACAATTAAAACAGATATTTTTAGCAAAAAAAAGTAAAATACAAAAATTTACATAGCAGTAGAGAAAAAAATATCCAAAAAATAAATCGTAGCATAATTACATTTGAAATAAATACATTGGAGATATACTCAAGTATTTCAAAAACAACATTTTAACATTCTTTTCTGCTTCCTTTGGGCGACTGAGAGAGAGTTTTACTTTTACAAGAAAAGAAAAATATTTGCCAAACCTGTTAAATCACATAGAAAATATTGACAGTGGTAAAAGTCAGTTTCAGCTTTTCCTTTGAGATGTAGAATTCAGTTATGGCTTAAAAGGAGAGTATTGGTTTATGCTGACAAGAATGAATAGAACATGAATTGTAAAGTGGACATTCTCCTCACCATGGGGAGTTGCAATTCAATACTCACGATACCTATCACGAATAATAATTGAGTTGATGGGTGTTACTGGTCACTGCCTCAACAAAATAATAAAATTGAATAAAAGTATTCAGTACATATTTGGTAGGAATAATGCAATTGGTAAGATCCATTTTATTTCAGACTTCATTATTGCCACATTTGATGATTCTTATATGTAACAGTTACATTGTACTCCAGTTTTTGTTCGAGCAGAAATGATTTTTTTATTTTTTGAGTGGTATTTTTTTTCTCCTCTTTTGGGGGCCAGAACACATTTTTTCTAGTAAAATGGTGATTTATGTATTTCCATCACTATTTCTAAAAACAGTATATAGTGTCAGTAAATCACAACCCCACAACATGGCCAGAAGCAAAATCCCATTCTTGTGCAATCCGAAACACATTTTATGGCATGCAGCCCACCAAGGTTGGAAACACATGTTCCATTTTTCATGAGCTATATCCTGTGAATACAATAGTAGAATCCATACTGTCATACTCTGCCCTGTAGGCAAAGACACGCAGGGGAATCTCCATTGTAATGAGTGTATACACAGCACCCTTTCATTTTGTGATAGAGGAGAAACTCACAGGTTGGTGACATGGATTACTATAATATACCTTGAGGTTCATATGGCAGCTGTTCACACAAATCACAAACAAATGTAACTTATTTCAGGTCAGCTGATTCTATTACAATGTTTTGAACACCACATACAAAAATCAACATCCTGAAATCCAAACTATTGTCTCGGCTAATTTATGGTTTACAAGCTAATTAAAAAACCCAAATGTAACATGCTGTTGGCACAGCTTGAAATGTTGTTTAAAACTAAGTAATTTCATTAGTCTTTTTAAATGTGAAATATTTTAGATCTTTTTAACCGAATAAATGACTAATCTTAGTTCAATTCATCAAAACATGCATTATTATGGCACTGATAGAGTTTCAATGTTCGCTCTGTTGAGGACTACTGCAATTAGAAAGGAAGCACTAAATGTAAAAACGACACCAGAAAAAAAAACTTCAGTTCACTGAAAACATAAATCATGTTCTCATTCTGTTTGCAGTAATTTGAGGTCGATTACTGTTCATTAGAAGTTACTGACACTATAACCTTAAAAAGATTTTGTGCCTACGGCAAAGTTCCAGTAACTGATCACACTTTGTGCAGATGGGTCAGAACTTCTGGCACTATAACCTTAAGGATATTTTATGCCAATGGCAAACTTTCAGTAACTGATCACTCTGTGCGAATAGGCCAGAACTACTAGCACGGTGACCATAAGGAAGCTTCATGCCCAGGGCAAAGTTCCGGTAACTGATCACATTGTTTATGGATGGTCAATTTAATAAATACCATCTAATTAAAAGCTTACTTACCCTCAGAAATCTGTCCAAAGAACCATTCTCCATGTACTCAATAACAATCAAAACAGGTCTTGCTAGAATGCAAAGAAACAACACTGTTAAAGGTAGCCAGGTCAAAGGTGAAAACATTTTTAAACAGGATTAATTAAAGAAAGGGTCCCTGTAAGGTTTTCCCTTTTAAGTGGTGACCTTGCCTGAATAATAGAAGACATCATGCTTTAAAAAATACCTCTTGTTCAAAGATTGATCGTAGCAATTAAGATGCATTATGGTAAAAGGACTTTTAAGAAACGTTTACATTCAATTTGAAAGTTTTGTTTGCAATGCAGATGCTTATTGGAATCATTGAGTAGCCACTCACAACAGATAGCGACTGAGAGCGACACAAGTACAAATACACTGATGTATGGCAAGGAAATAATGTTTTGACAAATGGCTTGGAAAACAGTGGCGTCAACTCAGCAAATCTATGTAGAGTATTTTAAACAAAATATTGGTGTACTAAATATTTGTTCATGATTGAAGCTACATTTTTAACCAAACAGAGTAAATCAGTGATTGCTACCAGGTAGGTAAAAACAAGCTAAGTGAAAGAAGAACCGCTACATCATGTGTGGTCAAATTTTGACAACAGGCTTATGAAAAACTTGTGCAACTACAACAACAATTTTCCAAATTCAAGTTGTTGTATACTATATTTGCTGTATTAGAATTTGTGGTAAAACAATGATTTCAATGATTAGTAATTTTAATGATTATACAATAAAAGCAATTGTTAGTATATGTGTGATTCCTATCAGACATGCACTTCCGATAGAAGAAATATGGTACCGGGGTAGTTGAAGTTTTTAAAAAAAATCATCAGTTAAAGATATTTGTGATCTGTGCAAAAGGTGAGAAGTTGGTAATCCTAGATGGCAAACTCAGCCTATTGGCAGTCTGTAAGGTCAATGCATTGCCCAGTCAAAACATACAAAGACTAATGTTTCCATCCATTATGCAAGAGAGAAAAAATTAGCGAAAGAATATAAAAGTACTCTCATTAATTATTCAGTTTAATGTCCACTTAGAATCTTGAAGACCTTAATCTGAGGCTAACACAAGGTTGTTTGCATCTGTTGGTACCTGCTTGCTGATTGGCTAAAAGTGTGGTGAACATGGAATAGTGGTTGATGGTAACCAATTGTGACAGGTGTAACAAATTATGCTAGAGTAAAACATTTTAGCTAGTTCCAACATCTTGAGCATGCAGCACAAGACAGAGGATTTTATTCTCCACTGATATGCATAAAAATTTTTTGATGTCATTTATGATACAGATAAAAGAATTAAAGTACAACGGAGAACTATACATTTTTGAAATACTCACATTTTGTGATGACACCTTCTAATCTGATCACATTTGGATCATCAAACTGTCCCATAATAGAAGCTTCTGTCAGGAAATCATTTCTATCTTTCAAACTAGCTCCTGGTTTCAACGTTTTGACGGCAACAATTTTTGGCTCTCTTCTTGGCATCTTTAGCATACCTCGACAGACATCACCAAATTCACCTGTAATCAATATTAGAATCACTGTTACCAAACGCCTCACAATTTACAAGTATATTGTTCCATTTCTAGGTAAAAATGCAAAATTAATCAATAATGATTTTAACAATTTGATTTTGTTTAATCAACACAGATGAACAGTTTCATAGTCCACTTTTTTTTTTTACTTTATTTGTGGCATTTTATTTTATTCTACCAAAATTTAAAGAAAATCTTTGAAGACACTTTTTTTTTGAAGAAGATGAATTGTTTGACTGTCATATTTTTAGGAGTTAACCTAGGTGTGATCTTGACATTCAGAGTTTTGTCACTATAATGTGCAACACAAATCATTGGTTGACATCTTTCTCAAAATTAACTGTGAGGGCGCAACTTGGCCAATCAAATGATTGCTCATGTATCAACATACAGTTTCAAGCTCATTGTCACACTACAGAGATGCTATGTTATTATATTTTAGTAATCTCATATTAATTGAACCCTACATAGTGTGGTACTTATGACTAAAATGATTGAAAGACGTCAATTGTATTACTTTAACACATTAATTACCAACTTAGTCTAACATGGGATGTTGTTTTTTACTATTACTTCAGCATGAATGCTTTGTTTTAATTAACACAGATAGAGTATCCAAAGAATGTACATTGAACATTAATAAACAGTCTAGAATTCCAGAAAGATTACAAGCATAATTAAAACAGATGGACAACTGAGGTATGTCAATGTAAAGTGTGCACAGATTGTCGAAAACATAGAAGAAGGACAGCGAGGACACACAACATACTAGTGATTTGCCTAAAAGTTTAGCCCTAACTTTCATAGAGAGTATTCTACTTTGTAAGTATTGGAGAGATTTAAAAGTCACGTATACACTATATACATAACTAGCAGGCTATATGTATGTATGATAACAGTTAAATCACTACTCTTATACATTATCCCATGCAGACAGCAATAATTACTTAGACACTTTATATCATGGGTATCAATAATGAATGGAACAGCCTTAATGACGTAAACACTAAAGTCAATTACTATATCAGGGGTGTGATTAATGACTGTAACAGCCTTAATGATTCTTTTAATGAACTCAGTTGACCCATTGATGTTTTAAGAGTTTCTTAATGCTTTAAAGATGAAGATATCAGCCAGTGCGTCTCTTCTCACACCTGTGGTCAACAGTAATAGTGGAATGATCTCGCAATGTTATGTTTTTTTTGTCCCTTCAGGACATATTACCAGTTTAAAAGTCACTGATTGACCTAAGACATGTAATTTGATCATTCTATGAATACAGGAGCATTTTGATATCACCACTTTTTGATCGTTTAATGATATCAAAAACTTGTCACCAGCAGAACATCAAATTAGTCATAACTTGACATTCCTGAGACTACTGACGAAGGGAAGATCTTCAAAAAGAACAAAGTTGATAATTGTATCTGATATCCTCAGCATTTTGATTGTTATTAGATGTCCCTTGGTCATTTGCATTAAAATGTTATATGGTAGTTTAGTTAATGAAGACATGACAGGATGGTGGAGGTTCACTCACATTATATATTAAGGTCAATCTAACACACGCACAGGAATGTAAAACATTGCTGAGAAGAGTAATCATTTTGCCACGTCTCACAAAATGTGGTTATTTTCACCATGTCTCATTGTCTATTCATAGTCTTGGCAGATTTAAGTAGATTTATGTTCAATTTTACAAGATTTTATTAATGACTTCTTGGGTGTTTGGTATGTAGTATATTTTCACTGATTCTTGATGAGTTGAATGTAAAATATAGGGAGAAAGGTATATTCGCTTAATTCCAGGGGAAAATAAAGTAATTTATAGTATATATCTGATTCTGCGGTCTTCCTTTATGCAAATACACCCATCTTTTAAAACTTCAACTCCATATACAATTTATTTTGTGCCCATAGAGAAAACTGACTTCTATGGTTGTAATAGTAATCTACAAAACATGGACAAGGTGACTCACAAAAAGCCATATTAACTTGTCATCTTTTAGTAATTTTATCATTAACCGTATAAAATCACAATATCATTCTTGACATTTTTACATTAACTTTATTAATCTAGAATGACACAGACCTAACAGTAGTGCATATACTCAACTTCCACGAAACATATTAGGTCACATTTTTACATTAACTTTATTAATCTAGAATGACACAGACCTAACAGTAGTGCATATACTTAACTTCCTCGAAACATATTAGGTCACAATTTTTCATTAACTTTATTAACCTAGGATGTCACAGACCTATCAATAGCATACAAATTAAACTTTCACTGAACTCATTAGGTCACAAATTTACATTAACTTTTTTAAGCTAGGATCATGCAGAACCTAAAATTTTCTTTTGAGGGTTTCTTTATCATGTAACATTCCACTATTTTATTTATCTTAGTTCATATTAGAAACACTATAACAGTCTTCTAACACACAGCCACTTGAGATGTAAATGTTTGAATATCAGCCAAATGTCAATTTTGGTTTATTCTAGTCAGTAATTTGTTCACATCATAAACCACAAACATACAAGCCAGCAATTTACAGATCGCACAGAATGTGACATGTACGAGAACCCACAAGTAATGTACAATGGGTACCTGTCTGTAAAATAGAGGTTTGGTGTGAAGGTATTTGGTTGACTGGGGTGTGCAGTTTATACAGAATTATTGTGCTAAACATGTCCACAGAAGACAGACTTTTTTCTCAAGTTAGTACTTGAAGGTTTGTGTTGTCTCAATTTTACTCTTTCTTTATTCATAACACATGACTGAATATCAGTCTCTAGATCAGCCACTCGACTCGCACAAAGTGGCAGCATGTTATTTATTATCCACTGGCTTGGGCTTTTGATAATCATTAAATGTGAAAATAAGCACATTTCACATCCAAATCATCTACTCCATCACTGTACATAAAATGTCTTCATTTTGACAATTCCCTCGACTAAAAAAAGACAAGATAACTAGAATGTCATCTTTTCGTTTGATTAAGCACCTACTCAAGACATATCTCCCAGATGTAATGAAATGCTACTAGAGATTGTAGCTGAACTCTGACCATTCGTGTAATTGAAGAAAAGTCTCAACAGACAAACAAACAAACATTTCTCTCATGTGAGCTATTTTTTTTAATTTTCACAGATTACTTTTATATCTCTGTTTATGTAGCTGAAATATGATAACACAAGCACTGCTTTTCAACTTTTCACCAAAATTAAACAACCAAACCTACAACACATATCCTCTAAACAATCAGAATTATCTTTGTGTACTCACCACCTCCAATAACTTCCTCTATCTTGACATAGGTAGCTGATATTTCTTTAGCAAATTCCTTAACAGCCAAGTTGAGATCTTCATATGTATGAGGATCAATGTAAGTCTTGCCTTTATTAGATGGTGGCAACAAAACTGTGATAAAATGAAAAACTCTTATGTCAATATAGCAAAAAAATTTCCAACATTCTAATAGGCAGAGAGAATTGTTTACTGCCCTCTAGTGTTCAATATGGAGAGAATAAAGTTGTGATTGGGATAAAGGTATGGCACAGATGCTGAGTGAATTATCAGCCCAAGGTCCTCTTGAACATCAAAAAACCAGATGAACATACTCTTGAAATTCCAAAGCATAAATCACAGAAAGTTGGGAAAAAACACTTCCTATCAATCAACATTAGACAGGAGGTGATTAAAGAGGTGAGGGAGCATGAAAGTTGAAATCCTACACTGGTATAGCCACTGTGTTAACGGGTATGAATTAACAGGCACATCAACTGTTAATATAATCTTCACAAAATGGGATTTCCTGTTGGGTGATAGGTCAGCAGTAGAACTATAGTCCTATGAAATCTTTCTCAAAATAGTAAATCACCAGAATGTCTTACCAAATATCACATTGATCCATGTATCAACTATTGTATCTTAATGAGGCAAACTATCTGAATATAGTCCTGTTTTAATACAAACCTCAAACAAATCACAATAAAATTGGAGGCTAATATTGAAGCAAATAATTCAAATTTTTAATGAATGTCAGACATGATCCAATCCAATATTTGAACAACAATTTAAGACAGGAATGAAGAATAATCATTTATTCCACTCTATATTTGCATACTAAAATAATTTTTTTTAATATTAAAGTTTAATTCACATTGACCAACATTAATTTTAAATTGAAAGGCAAATATCCTCTGTCTAGAAATATTGAAAACTGCATTTTGTTTGGTACTTTTATTGGAATCAGTGTATCTCACATACAGCAAACATACAACGTAAATGCTGGTAAATGTATTAAATAGTGGCTGTAAAGTTGAAGCTATGTTGTCTAGAAATACCACTAATTTATGTGCCACTTTGAAGTACTTCCCCAGTGGAGTGTAACTGTCAAGATGTATTACATTAACAATGGACAGATCACCAATGTTTTTATAATTCCACACACAGGGAATTACTCCTCCTGCTGTCTCTCAGGTGAATTCCATCAAATATACACTGACATCCTTACAACTGGGAGAAAAACAAACTCTACACCAATCATGAATTTTTTATCCTTATACTAAGTCATCGCAACCACAGATATAACACAAAACACAAGGGGGATTTAGAGCTGCAGTTGATGACGTTCTCATCTATGAGTTTTTGTGAGATAAAAACTGTCCTATCTAAACTTCTTCAGTGAACAAAAGGAAGAAGCTGGGATTGAAAACTAAAGGTTGGAAAAGCAGCATATTGATGCCCCTCAAAATGAAACCTGCCATCCCTGTGATAAAATGGACAAATATAGTATACAGTCTTTTGATTGGTTGACAGTATCATTGCAATGGTTCTGATTAAGTTATCCCATCAAACCTTGGGGTCATTCAATTCGTACGATAACACAATCATGAATTGTTGGAATATAGCACTCAATTGGTCTGAAAGAGACATTGATCCAATTTCACCACTGACGAATGACAAAAAACGACATTCACGATATTAGTATTTTTTTATTTCCAATTCCAATTCCACTTCTACAATTCCAAATTGCATTGAACATTGTATACATTCGATAAGGCTTTCAATTTTAGCGCAAAACATGAATCGTTTATTTTACTTAATGAGGGAAAGCAAGACATTTCGATAAGCATAGTTATTCCTTTTTAGTAATTCAGCCACAAAAAACAAAACAATATTCCTAAAAATGTTGATAGTGAAAAACCAACTTAAGTTAAAAAACTTACCTTCACCATTTGTATATACCGTGCTTGTATCACGCAATTCGTATCCTTTGCGTCTGCAAACAGAAACCAATATAAATATAGGAATAGAAGAAATTACCTCAATGAACATTGCTTAGATGTCAGATTGAATCAAAATAATTCTAAAGTAGGAATGTTGTTGAAATCAGAAAGATTTATCTCAATTGAATCATAATTATTGTAGTGTTATTCTATCAATTTAGATGCCACAGATGCCGCATTTTAACAACAATGTATTTTTGCATACAGTAAGTAGTATATGGACCAATCAAAAAAGGGACAATTCAACATATTTTGTAAGATGTGAGTTGAATCAATTATATGCATTGATCTTGGGAAACATACAATTTTCAAATCAAACCAGCCACACAACCAAGTTGGAGAAAACATCTACATACAAACAAACACTAAGCAAAGCCAATATTTGGATGATACTTGACTGAAAATAACTAGAGGAAAGAAATAACTTACAAACACAATATACTTTCATTAAAAATAATTGGCGGAATAAAACATTTGGGTGATACTTGATTGGAAATAACTGGAGGAAAGAAATAATTTCAAAAGAGATTAACAAGTCCCCTGTGGATTCCTAGAAATATCTGGAGGAAAGATACACCAAACACATGACATTTACAGCATTCCGTTTGTTCAGTCAGCCATGATCAGAATAATTGGTTTCATTGAAAAAACAAGTAGAGATGTAAAGATGATACTAATTGACACCTTAGCATTCTCAGTCTTAAAACAGAAGGGGCAATTAAAATTGTGCATGCAGTCATTAGGCAATAGGTAAACCTTCATTACTTAATGGCTGGGTTTCAAATTTTAATGGGAAATATGTGAATAATTTTATAGTGAATAAAAAAAAATCTCTGTTTTATGTGTATAAATATTAAAATTCCGTGGAAATTAAAAGTAATAGAACTAATAAGAAAAATTTGTCTACAGTTCAGAAATTTTAAACCAACTATATGTTTGCTGATAATATTAAAACTATTTTTTTTCTCGATACAAATGATAGCATTCTATTACTGCCCGTCGCCAGCTTCAAGAAATACATCATGAAAGATGACTGCTAGAGCATATGTCTTCAAGCTAACATCACTGTTATCATTTAAATTGTAATTGTTTAATAAAAAATTTTGCGTATGCATTTTTTATCGTGTAGTCATTATGAAATGCCAAAGTTCAAAATGTTTTTGTTTACTGTTTTTAGTCTGGTTACATTGTATGGTTTCCATGGGAGCAGGTACTATCACTTGTAAGACATTCATATATCACTACGAATAAAGTTGCAAAACCTGCCAAATTTATTGCTGTTTTCATAAACTTTGGATACAGTCAAGGAATGCAATTGAAACTACAGCCAATCTAGCATTAAAATGGACAAATTTGAACTGAGGATGAGGAAATTCAATTGGTTTTTATAGAATTAAAAGAATTTAATATTAAATAGTGCCATTAATGATAGCTATTGCAAACTTTTATCACATTACAAAACATACTCCTGAACAAATTTGATCAAACAAACCTAGAATTGTTCTAGAAAACTTGTAAGCAGAAATTTCTTTTGTGGATGTGTCAGTCAGCAAAAACCAATTTTCAATATCCTTCAATTACAAAATGTTATATCATTACGTTTGTCAGGACACATCAAGTAATTCAATTGAAATACAGCAGTTTGAAACCTCACTACATGATAACATACAGTATTACGGTCACTGCAGTTTTTTTACTCACAACACAGTAATATTTGTAGACATCAATTATCAGAAGAAGAAAGATACTCTATTTGTTCTTTGTAATAATAATTAAGGTAATGACATGATATGTATCAGATGCTGGAGGGAACATGTTCATTTTCTGCAGGGAAATCAGATCCTCAACAATTTATGGTCTCTATGAACCCATTAAAACATCTCTTATATAATTTCTGATCATATTTTGACATTTAAAAATCTTCTTTTCCAATGTCATTAATTTAACAGAGCCTAAGGGTTGATATGCTGCTATATCTAAGACAACATGATATCTTAGAAGCAGTATTTTTTTCAGATTATTGGTAACATAATGTCTCTCTCGACATAATTCAATATGATTGAAAATTGTATCCACTAAAACATTATTACCTAGATATCATTGTCTGCATTATACTTGCTACAGTTGTTAAGCTACAAAATATTCTTTCCAATTTGTTAAAAGACATCATCAACCCTTAGGTCATACATACAAAAAGTATATTTGTGGAAAAGAAAAAAACTACCCTGTACCAGCGTATACAGCTTTTAAGGTCATAGGTCATAGGTCATACAAATATACTTTTTTCCACAGGTCACATGTCATGTAAATGTATCAATTATACAGGTCAGAGGTTGTGTAAATATACTATTCACAATGATTATAATTTTATTCTTATTAAGATTATTTTCTTACCTGCGGGACATGATGATAAAAATGATAAGAATTGCCAGAATAAGAATGATCACGACAGCAGCAATGGATCCAGCAATGGCTTCGATTGGAACACTAGTACCACCTACAAAATACACAGATAAATTACTCACAGATCACACCTAATCAAAACCCCAGTACAGCTGGGCTCATCTCTTGCCAAAGCTGACAATCATACAATTTTTCCTGGTACATGATATCAAACAATACTTGTAGCCATGATCTAGAAACTCATTACTATGGCAACAAAAATGTTCCCATTGGTACAGTAACCCAAATACATCAATGGTCACAACTTACTAACAGTTCTTCACCTATTTTAAAATGAGAGTTCTTACTGGTATTCCTCACATATATAAAACGTAAAATTATTTAATGATTTGGATCGGAAAATTATTGACTGACCATTATTAAATTACATAAATAATGCCTACCATTGTATTGCAAATTATGGAAAAATAACAATTTGTTCTTTGTAACAAAATCATGCAAAATATGAAAATCAATACTAAAGCAATAAAAGCATCTCACTACAAAATGTCTGTATCGCTTCTATAATTGCAAACTTTTTCAACAAAAAATCATGAGAAAACAAACCAATTACACATACCGGTATCAATAATGAAGAAGTAAAGATAGTTTTTTATTCATAACTACACTGTAATAAATTTCTTAGCTTAAAGAACATTTGGAATTTAGAAGACAAATTATATGGCTAAATACGAATTCTGAACCTTGAATTTGCAAAAACATGTTTTTTAATACATAAATTGGAAGTACATTAAAGACCAGAGCAAGTAATCTGGCTCCAAAATAATTTTGACATTCTTAAATGCTATCAGCGCATCTGAAACATTTCAATTGAGATTCCTAATTTCATGTTTTTTTTCACTGATAAAATGTGTTTGCAAATCAGCTTTTTTATCAAATTGATATATCTATTATTTAAAAAACAAACAATGTCTCAGGGCAAATGAACATTTTAATACAAATATTCACAGAATAATTCATACAAGATGAGATAATACAGAGACTGATTCGTAATATTTAACAGAAGAAGACAAAAGAAGATCATATTCCACACACTGATGACTTCACCGTGCTGATTTTATGATATGAAATGACGTTACATACTATGGATACAGATAACAACAGCTAGAAATTTCAAAAGCTATTGTGAGAAGATATTGATAGATCAATTTGACATCTGAGAGAAGGCAAGACCAAATGAATTTGAAAACACATTTTTATGTCTTACGGTAATGCCGACTGTATTATTGTTTGTGATAGCAATTTGTATAATATTTAATATTTATACGAGATAAAACTTGAGTTCACCTGTTAAATATTTTATAACGATCCACCTTATTATTAATATTTTCATTATTTTTTATATAAATATTATTATAATTATTATTATTTTTCACTTGTGTATTTTTGTATCTGGCGTTCTTAGATCTAGACCAAAATAACAATAACCAAAAAAACATCAAATAAATTGTTGTTTTAGTCTGATTGTGAGTAAAAAAAAATAAAGACAACATAGGGAGGGCTGAGAAAGATCATTGAAGATATTGATGCATAGAATAGAAGACTAAGAGCTGTAGTGATGGATGAGGTATTGTCATGTAAATCAAGTCTCCTGCTGATGAGCCTATCTTCAGACTTGGGTGGCAGTATCAAATTACTATCAATAGAATAGCACTGACCCCAGTATAGATCAATTGTTTAACAGAGTACAACAATCGGTCAAGCTATTTAACAAATGGAAAATTCACAAGAACCAAAAATCAAGGATTTTTATGTAATCAATCATACACTTTGAAAAGCATGATAATGGACATTTTAATTCTGACAATGATTTTTGCGTATCACCCGTGACGCCATGACATGAAAGATGGATTGTTTCTGTTATTTCACATAAAACATGTGATAACCAGTCAGGCAGATATAATTGATACTTCTCTACATCTACATAACAAAGACATTCTACTCATACGTATTTGCATAACAAAGACTTTCCACTTACACTCATTTGCATAACAGAACGTACTTAGTTATTTAAATTAGAATCTTACTAACATAGTTAATCTAACACCTTACTAGGCCTACAAACTGGTATCAACAAGGTTTTCCCAAGAGACACAAAAAAGGCTCACGTGACGAATTTTATTTGCCAACAAAAAATGCAACAATGTTAAAAAAACACCATCCCACGACCACCTGCGGGTATAAATTGTCAAATGCCAAACATGCATTTTTGAGGGTACAAATATGAAAAGATGACTAAATGTTTATCTGATTTCACCAGAGTTTTACCAGCAGATACTGATTTCCTATTTATATTAACTTGAAGGTAAATAATGAGGGGATTTCAGATAATGAGACGTATTAAAAGTGTCCTTCAAGCGATTTAAATATTTGGTTGGTGCATTACAAAATGTGCATGATATAAATTTCTGTAAAATTGGTACTGTCATTAAATCTGTCTTTATCTCACATAGAAACCCTCGCAAATCAAAATTGATGTCTTAAATATAAACATACTTAAGTGATTTTCATTAAAAGCCTACATAATTTAAAATAAGACATTAATCAAAAGAGAAAATTTACCGGATATTTTGTATTTCTCACAGATAATATAAGAGCCGAGAATTGAGTGTACAGAATGCATACTGATTGATAATGTTTGGCAAGCATTCATGGGAATACGCTGTATTCATTATAGTGCAGAAGCAAGTCAATATGCACTACCTGTGTGGTTTTTTTAAAGTAGTAATGATTTTAGCGTGAAACTAAAGTAAACTATTAATACACTATAGGCAACATATCCTTCCTGTCAGATAAAACTGTTTGACATTCCAATACCATTAGAATATATGCATTTGCCGACTTTTATTGTGGACATTTTTACTTCCATGAATTCCATTTGCCAATATAGGAAAAATGTAGATTTAATGGATAATTCTCATAAATGTGATTGGGAACAAAGAACAAATAGCTTTGTGGAATCCTTTGATATTCCCGAACATTTTTCACGCTGCTGGGTCAGAAAAGTTTAAGCAATATTTTAACATTTCAATTGAAATGCATTTATCAAGCGGATTTCTGGTTCCCCTCAGAAGAATGCTATTAGAGTATTAAGCAACAGAGTCACAGGGCATCAAGATCGGCATTACCCACCCCAATGATCACAAAGAGACGACCTGACACGACTGAAAACATTATTAGAAATCACATTACTACATCATGACATTTGGCTTCATCGCTAAGATAAAATAAGCTTCTCAAGAGAGAGGCATATTACACATATTTTGCTTTGACAGGCGATACCAGGGAGCCATAGGAGGAAATGGTATCCATGGCAACCAGGGAGAGATCACATGGCGATGTCAGATTTAATATTTGCCAAAATTCTGAATTTGAAAAATTAAATGTGAAAAGTACAGAATACAGAATGGGTACATTTATTTTGGAAATAAACATCACTAAAAAATGGGGATTTGAAGAAAGTTGATTTGAGAAAATAATTGCAGTGGGAAAAAAACAAAAATTATTCTTTCCATATTCTTATTCACGAACTGTCAATTTTGGCAAAACTTTTGAACACACTGACTTTACTAAAACTTAATTGATAATAAAATGCAAAAAAATTCATTATGTAAATTAATGCACATACCTGATGTTTTGGCTGTTGTTGGGTAACTATAAACTCCAAATCCAGCTTCTGTGCGGGCACGGATCTGTAATAAAACAAATAAAGCAAAATATAATTAATGTTCTCATGGCAAAAATTTTGAGAAGGTGCTTTTATTAAAAAAAATATTAATATGGCTTGTTTTTGAGATGATTTACACATTACAGCAGTAAGCCTAGGATTGAGTTCATTAGCACCGGTAAAATTTGTCAATTTAATCTAAAATAGATAGTTTTTCCAAGATTTATGATATTTAATAAAATTCACATTCATAGGATGGTTTTTCTCTTTCAAAAGATTTTGTGTAAGAAACAAACAGATTATTTTATTTTCTATCCACTGGCGGGTAAAATACATTTACAAATGTTTTACTTGAATCAGATCTTTGCCAGAATACACACAATTTACCAAAATGTGGCAGATGTGAAATGAATTAATGTAGGCAATATAACAGCATCAGAACATGTGATTGTATTGGTTTTATGCCTGGAGGCAAAAAAAATTGCTTGCATATGGAAAAATGATAATTGACTCAGGTCATGTTTACATTCCACATTAAATGTCATGGCAACAAAAAAGGAAGTTCAATGGTAATTATAGATCAATTACTCTTATTAGCAAATCCTTGTACAGCTAAAAATCTACCAATTTAATTTGCATTAATTAGCATGTATACCCACAATGCATTGCTAGTTTTAAAACCATGCATATTGATCTTGAATGCAATTCCCATTTGTCATGGTGCGTCTTGATCATAGACGGTGGTGTCATGATCATCATGAATATACTACTGCTATAAATAAGTGGCATTTATTTCTCAGGTGTATTTAAAAAAAATGCACAAATATCTCTCAGCTCAGTTACGAAGGTACATACAATCCAAAATGAATAAAGAAATCGTAGCCTTTCAAAATATTGCATCTGAATTTAATTAAGTGGGGAAAATTATGTTGTTTAAAGTGTAGATCTATTACTGGTCCAAGGTTTCTTAAAAAAGTGTGTTTTTTTTAATGTTTTTTTGTTTCTCAATTCCTCAGTTTTGTTTTTCTTCAAATATGCAAAAACAAAAATGTGTGAGAGGCCCATTTTAAACGGACACACGAACCCAAAACATGTTTTGTTTCAGCTTAATGAGTATTTGCACCTATTGCATCTTAAATTTCTCGTTTCCTCATATCAATACTTTTATAAATTTGTTAAAGTACATATGAAAAGACTCATTTAAACATTCTGACACTCCAAGAAGGAAATTCTCAGCAAAGCATACAACAGCAAAGATTTATCCCAACATAAATTGTTAATATTCTCACAATTTGTTAATGGTATAATAGTCGCTCTTTAAGACAGGAAAACAAGCGAACATAGGAAACCAGGAAACAATGCAAGCCAGCTACTCAGGCAGTCTAGGAAATCAACAAGCAGCACGGATATAGTATTGAGTGTAGCCAGTCAGCAGCTGAGGCTTAAGTCACTTAACACACATTTTAATTACATTATATTGTACCAACTCCCTGAGTTTAATAAAGAAGCTGAAATTTCATCTGACTACAAACATCCTTCAAACCATTTAATTAGTGAAAAAACACCGACCAACTCTTGTCGTTCAGGAAGAGTTCCAATTTCCTCAGCCGATAATTAGCCATTAGGTATTCCAGTACAGACTATGTAAATGAAAATTATTAGTGTGTGCGTGTTTCAACTCAAATTGCATTGCAGCAACACTAGAGATTTCCACAATTTAACATTTAATACATGTAAACACATGTACTTAATTATTTAAAAACAATGTTCTAATATTAGGATTAGTCACTTAAATATCAACCTATAGGATGAATGTTTTATAAAATTAATAAATCCTTGTAGCTATATGCTTCGCCTGTATGCTTTTATAATACACACTATATAATAAAAGATTATTTTTTCAATAAAACACAAAATGTTACTCCCAGCCTACTTCTCAGTTTGTGTCATAATTCATAATTTGAGTTTCTGGTATGATGGGTGCCACCTAAAGAAACTGATGCAATGAATACCGTCTGGAGAGATTACACTGATACATAATAGGTGCGGTATAGTAAAGACTAAACTGGTGGAATGGGAGCTAAACTAACTTCTGGAGCATGCTAATTTGCATACCATCACCACAAACGATCTGGACCACGCTAATTTGCATACCACACTAATTTGCATACCACACTAATTTACATACCATCACCACAAACGTTCTGGACCACACTAATTTGCATACCATCACCACAAACGTTCGGGGCCACACTAATTTGCATGCCGACCCCACATTTTTTGTAGCATAGAACATATAATTAGGGTAAATTATTGTAAACATTATGTGACTGGTGCTGTCATGGAATGGTTCATGCTACACTTCTTAATAAATAAACATACTTAGAAATATCTCCATAACTGCCCTCAATACCCTTCTTTTTTTGCCGTAATCATAAAATCCAGTCACTCGTACCCTACAAACAACCAATGAGATTAGCTACGTACTCTCTCAAGAAGCAACTTAGTCACAATTTCAATTTATGCTATTAGGACACCGAAAAACCATCGATGTCGGATTTACCACTTTTCTACACATCTAATGAGTTAGAGCGTTTTATAAAGAGGTCGTCTTGAATGAAGATATTTCAATCGCTCTTGCAACTACAGCTAGCTTGTCGGTACTGATCAAAGTGTTATCAGTACTTGTAGTTTCATCATAGGATGGAAGGTTACAAGATTCTGGATGATAATTGAGCAATACCACGCGAAAATGACAAATAGGCAAGCAATAACAAGCACAGCACATACTCTGAGAAAATATGTTATCTCAAAATATTAATTTATTTAAACAAGCAATAAGGATGAAAAAAATATTATTGTCATATTATTGTTTGATACACAAACTGTGCACTAAATCAGAATATGATTTATCATTAAGTAAAATTGTTTCATTTGCAGGACATTCATAGAATGAAAAATCAAAATCACTGATACACATGTGAAGCCATATGCCTCTACAAACCAAAAGAACAAGCAAACATACGTATTAGATAATTTCTTTGTTTTGTCAAACAAATACTCTGAAGCATGCTTCAAGAATAGCGTTCTAATGTCGAATAGACCTACGAGAAATGTTTACTGTTTTTTATGTTAATTTGCTTTTCCAGTGACTCCCAAAATTCTTCAACATTTGTCTATATACCGGTATTTATCTTTACGTATATTTATCAAAAAATTGGTGTTCGATATGGGATTCATAGTGACGTATACAACGCGTGTAAAATACATTGTTTATTTACATTAAATTTGAACACACGCTGCGCGACGACCAACGCGCTTTAAAAATATGACCTTATCTTGGATCATAGAAAATGTTATATAAATTAGGATGAATGTTTGAGATTTCAAAATTCATGTTTCTGGTTCTCAGCAATGTCTTGGAATTCCACTCACATCATTCAAGGGTCAGCCACTGTTTCCACCCGAGACTTAGTTAACATTTTTTCTCATTCCAATCCCTCAAGCACATTTCTACAAGAATACATCTCATTTACAGGATGGATTCCAAACTTTCATCACCTAAATTCAAAATAATTAATTCAAGTGGAATGTTAAACTCCTTGTTTAATTCATTTGTACACTTCTTAAGGGAGATGGTTGCTTAGCAACTCTTTTGCATCACTGACTCAACAATCTCCATCACCTGATTTTTACAGTTATTCACTGGTTTGAATTTCTCAAAAATATGAAACACATTACATTTTCAGACATTACATATAATTGTAGTATATTATTGATTATAAACTAGAAAATAGTCTCTCCCTTAAAGGTGCTTGAGTTCTGTGTTTAATTTTTTTTTATTTTTTGTACGAGAAAAAATTCATTGTTGACCAAACATGCATTCTCCAGCTATAATCTCCAATATATGGCTATGTTTTAGAAAATATTAGCATGTAATTTTGGCTTAGTATTACATGAATTACAAATATAGGGTAAATAAACTCTTTGTTTTTTGTTTGGTGTCTTTTTTTGTAAAGCGCTCACATTTTACAATAGACATTTTTTGTTAATTTCATAAATTTTTGGTGGACCAAAAAATTTCATTGAGGTTCTTTAGGCAAGACACACAATGTTTTTTTGGTAGATCCACATTGATGTCAATTATTGAAATTTTCTAGAATATTTTAAGAATAATGACTTGAAAATTACAGTGCACCTTGAAAATTACAGTAAAGCAATATTTCAGTGGATGAAAACACCTTGGGTTGAATAAGCAGGATTAATATATGGGTCTTGATTTAAAAAAAAAAATTAACATTCAAACTCATTCCTTAAAGGCTTGACTATGAATGTTTAGATTTTAATAATGTATGACATTTACCCAATGACTGGTGCACAGTGAGTCAGTTGAAAATAGGCATTAGATGTAACCTGTATATACCAACTTGTACAAGCCAATGAAAAAAATAAATAATATTGTGTGAATTGTTGACAATATGGATTGCAGACACATTGTTGTATTTCAAATCAGATCAAGACAAGGCAGAATTCTAGACCACAAATCAACTACCGGTACTTTCAATCTTATCAAATCATTCTGTCCTTCAGGCTTGTCTGCTCCTTTCCATCCAAAATTTTGAAAAACTTTTTTGAAAATTTTAGACAATAATATAGAAATAACTTCAGATATGAATTTGCCGAAAATTACAGAAAACTTGAAAACTTGGAAATGAGGTTAAAACATTTACAAATGAAAGGCTTGTATAGCAGCGATGACTAGAGGCAATGCAAGTCGTAGAGCAATGGAATACTGAATGATTTAGCCGAGAACTCTTATATGTCTTCTTGCTTTAACCTCACTTTTAGCTGCAAAGATTTTCTCCCTATTTCCAACACTAGATTTCCCATAAGAAATATAACCATGCATAAACTGCCACTATTTTCACTGACATCACTGTCAATGCTTGGACCACTGTTACTGCTATTTTCACTGACATCACTGTCAATGCTTGGACCACTGTTACTGTTTCTGCTATTTTCACT